CTCCTTCCTAGGGCCTTTTATTTACTTTACTTGAAAATGTGCATGCCATGTCTCCAGAGAACCTGCCCTGCCGTACAGTTTGTTCTGAGAACTCACACAGAAGCCATTTGGAAGCTTAATATATGGCAATTGTATTTGAACAGGGCGAGGGCTAGAGGAGGCATGCTGCGCTGGGTGGCTGCTTCCCCCCCACCCCCGCCCCATGCAGTGGGAACCATGGCTCTGTGTAAGTCACTTCTGGGCCAGGGTCAGAGACAAAATGAAGTTTTGTAAGTCACTGCCCAGCCAGGGACAGAGACATCATTGGGCTACCTTGGGCTAGTTGCCCTGTCTCAACCTAATCTACCTCACAGCATTGTTGTGAGGAGAAAATGGAGGGGAGAAGAACAACGCTGTAAACTGCTTTGAATCCCTGTTTTAGAAGAAAATGGTGTACAAGTATCTAAAATAAATAAATATAACACACAGCACACGACACCACTGTCACACACACACACACACACACACACCCTTTCTCCCCAGTTCAGGAGTAGCTAATGGGATCTGCCTGAAGCCATTTATTTATTCCTGATCATGAGCATTCTTCCTGCGTATTGTCTGTTTTGCCCAGTGCATATTGCCTGTTATATGTTAGGCCTTTGGAGCTGCTTGTTTGTTGAATGTTGTTGTTGTTCAGTAGCACAGTCGAGTCTGACTCTTCGTGACCCCACGGACCAGATCCCGCCAGGCCTTCCTGTCTTCCGCCATCCTCTGAAGTTTGCTCAATTTCATGTTCGTGTTTTTTGAATGGTCACCTCTGAATACCAGGGCTAGGAGGCAACATCAGGGGAAGAACTTTGCCTCTTTCCCCTGCTTGTGAAAATCCCCAAATGCTTAAGAATTAAATTCCTTCATTTTTTCCCCCTTTTTGACAGTTGTCTTTTAAGCTAAGCATAATAGAAAAACATAGTCTGATTTGGCTATTGCCCAGGCTACCCCAAAACTGAGTCCACCACTGGGGGGGGGGGGTTATACTTGTCCACACCTGGCTTGCTGAGCAGGGCCATTACACATCAGGACAATATTCCGACTTCTGAATAATTCTGTTTGGTTAGGAACATATGTATACCCTCACTCCCAGGAAGGCAACAGTTACTGCATTGGGGGAAAATGTGTTGAATATTTTGCAGGAATAGCCAGAGCCTCTGCAGTATCCAAGCAGCTTTCAGGGATGCAGTGCTTGAAACCTTATACCCACCCCCCACGTTATGCAGGCACATTATCCCTGCAGCTGCAGGATCAAGAGGAACAGAGCTTCCTTCCTCCTTTCCCTCCCATGGGTTCCTCTTCACTAGTAGCTGAGCCAACCAGCATCAAGAGGGCAAGAGCACAGGTTTTTGTCCATTCTCAGCTTGCTCTGAGCTATGACCAGATCTTCTTGGTGCTTGGGGGGGTCAACAGTGGGAGGGTTTCTAATGTCCTGGCCCCACTGCTGGACCTCCTGATGGCACTGGTATTTCTGGCCACTGTGTGACACAGAGTGTTGGACTGGATGGGCCTTTGGCCTGATCCAACATTGGCGTCTCTTATGTTCTTATCTGTTTGTTGCATTTGTATCCCACCATTCTTCCAAGGAGCTCAGAGCAGTGGGTGTGGACTTGGATCCAAAGTAACATTTCTGTGCATGCGAGCTCTTCTGCCCATGGAGCACAGGTTACCTCCCCAACCCAGCAACCCCAAATGCCACCTGAAACCCTCAGGAACAGGATTTTAGGGGGTACTTTGGGTTGCTGCAGGAGGGGGCAAGCCAGAAGATCATGCTTCATGGGAAGAAGTCCTTGTACCCACAGAAATGTTACTTTGGATTTAGTCCAAGATTCTCTCCCTTCTCTGCTTTATTCACACAACAACCCTGTGAGTTAGATTAGGCTGAGAGAGTGTGGCTGGACCAAAGTTACCCAACAAGTTTCATGGCAGAGTGGGAATCTGAATCTCGATCCCCCAGATTTAGTCCGATATTGTAAGCACTTCAGCACACTGGCTCCCATGGTGCAGCAGCCTTGCTGCTGAGTAAGTCTGTAACAGGACACCGCCTGGAAACCCTTCATATGCTATAGAACAGAAGCAGGATATCAATGGAATCCAATTAATAAAGTGTGCCCCAGATTGTAGATTGCGTACTTTGTCCCACAGAATTCAGTGAAAGCCAGAGGACTATGCCTTTTTTCAAGGTGCAAAATCGCCATTCCTCTTTTTTCTTACTCATACTGGTAAATGACTTTTGTATGGACATTTTACAGCATCTGTAAAAAATTAGCGTGTGGGACAGTAGTTTAGCCTTTGGCAGCTATGCTATTTATAGAATGTTCACAAACGCTACTTCATAAGGCGGAAAGGTGAGAGAGAGAACATTGGTAAGCTGCAGGACTAATATAAAATAAGTGAATGGGTGTGGGATGGAAAAACTCACACTGGAAGGGCCAGAGGGGAGGTGGTGCTATTGAGTGGAAGGTTTGAGAAGTGGAGAGGCCCAGGAACTTGGATGCAGTGCTTGGGGTTAGGGGGACTGAATTTCTCATACCAGTTTAAAATAAGCATGTGGATTTTTGGCTACCAGTTACAGGATTTTTCCTGCAGCATATAGGTGAAATGCTTATTTTTTAAAAGATTCAAAACTTGACCTTGGTTATCTTTTCCAGGGGCACTTATGTTTCTCTTTTGTTTTTATGGTCATCTATTTCATTGCCCAGAAGCCTCTGTCCATAATAGACATTTGTGCTATAAAGCTTTGCAAAGTCAAGGGGTGGTTTGGAAAAGTTGCACATGTCCTTCTCTGGAGGCTGGTATCAGATTGGTATGCTGTGGGAGTAATAGCCTGAGCCAGTGCTGACTAACAGCAAAGCTAAGGAAATACAAGCTCACATACAGTGGCTTGCTGTTCCTAGTAACCGGGTCATATGACTCACTGAGCTAGATTCTTTTGTTGCATGTTTAAGAAAAATTACTGGAAGAACATAAAAGAGGGATGCACTTTCAAGAAACAGCACCTTATTTTTACTTTTCCTCTCCATTTCTTTTCCTTAACACAGTAGTTTGTTCTTTCTAATATTGCATATAGATTTGTTTTATATTTTTATACATTGTTATTCATATAACATTGTGTAGTGAGGTGGGTTGGGGAAACTCGGATTCAGATCCATACTCAGATCTTACTGGGTGTCCTTGGAACAGTTAAACGCACGCTCTCTGTCTCATCTACCTCGCAGGGTTGTTGTAATGTTTAATGGTTAAAGGTCCTTGTAGGAACAGTAAGATAAAATGCAATGGAGATTGCTAAGGATATTATTATAATTATATAACGGACAATTCATCTGCCACTGCATAGCTTTTGCAGTTGAAAGGCAGGAAGGATATCCGGTCCTAATGTGTTTAATGCAAGCCTGAACAAATGTCCACCCATCCAAGCTGAGTGCAAACCATCATCCAAAAGGGATCTACTCAATAAACCAGGTTTCATGGCATGCCTGGGGTGTTATCCAGCATGCGGGTGGTGGGCTGAGTTTGTCTTAATGAACCACAAGTAGTGTTCTCTCTAAGCTGAGTTAGTGTGAGCTAGCTCACAGTTTTTTAGCCTCCAGCTCACACATTTTTGTCTTGGCTCAGGAAGGATGGATCCAGAGCAAACTGATTTATGAAGTAGCCAAATCGCTCGCTCACAACTTTCATGCCAGTAGCTCACAAAGTAGAATTTTTGCTCACAAGACTACACCGCTTAGAGGGAGCATTGGCCACAAGGGGATCTTCATCACACTGGTTTTCAAGTTAGAAAGTTGCTTCTACACACAACAGTTTTCTTAAGCAGCAGCTGTGCAGCCAAATTCTGTGTCCCTGACCGCTCTGAGCAAATTCAAACATGACAAAATTCTGCTTAGAAACTATATCCACATAGAGCCATGCTAGATATATGCATATATTATGCAGAGTTGTTTTCTGTTACCCCAGAAGGTTGGATCAGAACCAACGGGTCAACAGAATTTTCAGCGAAACATTAGGAAGAACTTCCTGACAGTTAGAGTGGTTCCTCAGTGGAACAGGCTTCCCTGGGTGGGCTCTCCTTCTGTAGAGGTTTTCAAACAGAGGCTAGAGGGCCATCTGACAGCAATGCTGATTCTGTGAACTTGGGCAGCTCATGAGAGGAAGGGCTGCATCAGTGCTTAGTTCTCATGGCCCTTTCTTACATGCCCAGATAAATGCTGATCACGACATTGGGTTCAGGAAGCAATTTTCCTCCAGGCCTGTTTGGCTGGGGATCCTGGAGGCTTTTTGTCATCTTCTGGATATGAAACAGCTGTCACTGGGGGTGGGGGGCAGGTATTTGTGAATTTCCTGCATTGTGCAGGGGGTTGGACTAGATGACCCTGGAGGTCCCTTCCAACTCTATGATTCTCGTAACGAGGTCATATGACTCGCTGAGCTAGATTCTTCTTTCCCACACTAAAAAAAGTTCTTGGAAAGACAGAGAAGGGAATGCACTCTAAAGGGACCGTTTCCTAATTTTTGTGTAATGAAAAGCTAACGCCAAGACCAGGGAGGAAAGGATGGTTCACGCTTTCTCTCTGCGTTTGGTTTTGTTTTTTCTCAGAAATATCTTGTTCAAGCTTTCTTTTTTTCCAGCTGAAAAAGGGGAAATGTGGCTTTCCCCTCCCCATGGGCAGAAAAGGAGCTAGGGAGGGTTGAACAGAGAAAAGAGGAGAAAGACGATTAAGAATCTGAAAATTAAAAAGATTAACACTTCATTTATTGTTTTCATTTGTGTTTGCTTTGTGCATGCCATTTGACCATTGTTTCCAGATGCAGCATGACTGTCACATCTGATAGTGGTTTGATGTACAGAAGAACCTTTTTGGGGGGAAAGCCCGTTGCCATCTGCTTACAAGTGTCTGTTTTGCCCTTTGTGTGTGTCACAAATATTAGGCTGTTCTTTTTTCCTCACCAGAATCCTACATTGTTTTGTTTTGCAGATTAACCATCATGAGAAGGTTCCTAGTGACCTGCTGGATAGCGGTTTTCCTTATTCTGCTACAAACTGATGTCTCCCTTTCTAAAAAAGGAAAGAACAAACCAGGCGGTGGTTATCCACAGCAACCTAGCTATCCACAGAACCCCGGTTACCCACGCAACCCTGGTTATCCTCAAAACCCTGGTTATCCTCACAACCCTGGCTATCCTGGAGGAGGTTATCCCAGAAACCCTGGCTACCCACAAAACCCTGGCAACCCTGGAGGAGGTTATCCCAGAAACCCTGGCTACCCACAAAACCCTGGCAATCCTGGAGGAGGTTATCCCAGAAACCCTGGCTATCCTGGAGGAGGAGGCTGGAACCAACCTAACAGTAAGCCATGGAAGCCTAAGCCACCCAAATCCAATATGAAACACATTGCGGGGGCAGCACTGGGAGGCGCTGCAGCGGGAGCCCTCGGCGGCTACCTCTTAGGCAGTGCCATGTCTAATATGAATTTCCGTTTCAACAACCACGATGAGGAACGATGGTGGAATGAAAACCGAAACCGTTATTCCGATCAGGTTTACCACCCAAAATATGAACCGTCCATGTCAAGGGATGTCTTTGTGAGAGATTGTGTCAATATCACTGTGAAAGAGTTTACTGAGACCTCTGGGAACCAAACACAAGATGAGATGGAAAAGAAGGTCGTGACCCGAGTGGTACACGAAATGTGCACAGAGCAATACCGGTTGGTGTCGAGCGTTGCTGTCCTTCTCGCTAACCCGTCCATGCTTCTGATCATCACGTTTGTCATCTGTTATCTGATACACTGAGGAGGCCTCCCCCTTGTTGCTGATCTCACCCAGAAGGAGTAAGATTTATACAAAAGCAACCTTATTCGTGGAGAACATATTCTTGCTTTATGCACCTCTTTGATGGGAGCGTCTGTAAGAGCTGTTGCATCTGCTAAGTGTTAATGAACATACACACTGCCAAGCGCAAAACCTTCTTCTAGAGCTGTCTTTGATTCTGTATCTAGTGGAACAAAATAGCTGCACAGGAAAGCGACCAAGGTGTTAATTTTGTAAGGGGTGGGGAATAGGTCACAATCCAGCTGTCTTCAGAGCTAATTCATCTTAATTTAACACAACATGAGCATAAGAAGCCTTTCTTTCTTATGTCACCTGGTTACATGGACTTCTCACTGAAACTTTACTAGCTTTTTGAGCATTTCTTGTCATTCAAAATACAGTTTCACTTTATTAATGCAAAAGGCTGATTTCTAGAGGAGGAAAGCGTTTTCCAATTCATCGGTAGCATCCCTGAGGGTGACTTCTGATATCACATAGTACAGGGGGGGCAGGGTTGACAGAAGGCATAGACGTCCTCCACATTGAAAGTCCAAGGTGGAATTTTCACATTTGATCTTGTGGTGAAATGTGTAAACTAAAAGAAGTGCAAGGCATAAGCTGCTTGTAAAAACTGCCTCAGGGCCTAATGGACTATTGAATAAATACAAAAGCAACCTTATTCGTGGAGAACATATTCTTGCTTTGTGCACCGCTTTGATGGGAGCGTCTGTAAGAGCATTTTGATGCTCCCATTTTTGTTCAGATTCCAGAAACAGTCCAAGGTTAAGTTAACAGCAAGGCGGCAAAATGTGGTTGGAGTTTCAGGGACCAGGGGGCCCTTTCACAAAGATGTGCCCTACGCTCCTGGTTTCATGCTTTAGCAAACATGGCTGCCGTGTGGAAGACTGGGTTTCTTGGCCCTCCTTCCAAATCCACTTCTATTAAGTCACTGTAAATAATTGATGATAGGGCTTGAAACAAAGGGCCCAACTGAATTTACTGGAATTCATTGTATGGACCTCACTCAGATCTGGATCAGATTTTTATAGCTAACCGCACATACCAGAGTCATTTTAAAGTTGGCCTGTAAGAGTAAGCTTATTGTGTAAATGGATAGCACTCAAATGTGATTTGCCAAGAATCTTGTGAAACTGAGAAGTCCAGGACAGGCTTTGAATCCATTGGAGAATCAACATTTTTGTGACTGTAAGTGAGACAATGCTGGTGCAGAAATGGAAATTCAAAATGAGCCTAGCCATGCACTCCTGAAAGCACCTAAAATAGCAGGCCATTAATCTCTTACATCTGGCGCGATCTCTTTCCCTTTGGTTGCAGAGTAAGCCGTTTTCACAAAGGTGCTTAACTGCTTTGAGGATAACAGTTTGCCATGTACCACATCTCGGACATGTTTGCTCAGAAATTAATCCCACTGAGTTCTGTGGGCTTCACTCCTAAGTAAACATGCATAGCTGGATTGTGGTCTTCAGGTATGAATGGGTCTCTGGAAAGGGCTAATATTTGACACTTGTTGGGGGTAGGTGATTGTTAACAAATGAGATGGTTGTTCCTGGTTTGGCTACTCCCCCATGCTCTTCCTGCCACATCCCCTCTCTGTTCACCCCTGAATTGTGCAAGGCTTTGGACTGGGCTAAACTGCTGGGCTAGTGTGCAAGAGGACCATGGGGCACCAGTGCAACGGTACAAATTGTTCTCCTGCTCAGGGGAGTCTTTGAACCTGATTGTTTATTTTGACGTGTACAGTAGAGCATAGGAGCACATTAAACAACGGGATATATACAATTCAGTAATCTAGCCGTATTTAACCTTAAAACAGACAGTCAATTGGAAGTCTGCATTCTGGATTGTACTAATTCTGTCTATTCTACCGCTTATGGCCTCTTGTTTTATTAGTGGGTCTGTTCTTGCTCATTTATATTTCAGTTGACTCGCTGATAACACTGTATGAAAGTAGAGGTAGTTTTTGTTTTGTTTTTTAAGGGTAGTCCCAATGTAAAGTGTGTACAGTTCTGCTTCTGAATATAGCTAATATATGCTGTATCTTTTGGCAAAACTGCTGGATGACGGTTGCCCAAAGCCAGTTTTGCGTATTGCTGCTTTGATGCTGCTGGAAGAGGTTCTCTACCAGAGCAATAGGAGAAAGCACATGCAAAAAATAAATAAATCTGAGCAATTTGTCAGTCCTTTGTCATGAGAGCATTTTGTAACTTTGTAATTTTGCATGTGCTTAAATTTGATTTTCAGAAGGCTTTTATAAAAAAATAAGTGTTTGTTATTGGATATAAAGAAATAAAGCACGGCAAAGGCCCCAACGTGTTTCTCTGTGAGTTTGTTATTGACAATGTGCTGATTGTTTCAAACAGTTTGCATGTGTTTACTCCAAGACAGCCTTTGTTTTCTCTGGGGGTCGGGTTTTTTCCTTTTCTCCAGTAAACCAGTGGCTGAAAGGAAAGCCAGCCTGCAGCTGCCTCTGTGGTCAGATGCATGCAGTGCAGCAACACTTGCTGATGTTGAATGAATCTTGGTGTTGTCAGTGCCTGGAGGGGAGATAACCTAGAAACCATGTACATGCTGACCTGAGATGAGATGTACCCGGCCTTTCAGCAGCTAACATAATGGCTGCCAGGCTTTCCATCTGGCAGGAGGGTTCCTGCTGGCAGTTGTTTGGTAGCTCTAGGAAGACTTTATGGTTACCATAGAGTTTCTGACAATTCCTAGAACTACCCTATGTCACTTCCAGATTTGCCCTGGAAGAAATGTAGCAGTGCACAGGACTCTGACACCACTCCAAGCAGTGCTAGGAGAATAATTTTAAAAGTGTCAGAGTCCTGTGCACTGCTACATTTCTTCCAGGGCAAATCTGGAAGTGACATAGGGTAGTTCTAGGAATTGTCAGAAACTCTATGGTAACCATAAAGTCTTCCTAGAGCTACCAAACATCATTTCCGGATTTGCCTTGGAAGCGATATAGCAGCATACAGGGCATCAAGAACACACACACACCCCAATAACCTTGCCCCTGAACTGGAAAGTATATATTGTGGTATATTTTTATTATATTGTCTTGTTACCTGCCTTGGCGGTGCTGATTGGGCAGGAAGGCAGGATATAAATCCTGTAAATAAATGAAATAAGTAGTTCCCATAAAAAGGTTTAAAACCTAAGAAATAATCAAAACATGCAAATAAAAAGATAAATTGGCTTATAAACTTTATATTCCATCTTTCTTCCATGGGATTCAGTGTAAAATGTCTGCAGTTCCGTGATGGTTTTCCAATGGCTCAAGAACTGCTTAGTTTCAGGAAGGTGAAGTGGTTAGATTGTCGGACTAGGATCTGAGAGGCCCAGGTTGTAACTACCACTCGATCATGAAAACTCACCGGGTGACCATGGGCCACTCACAAAACCTCAGCCTAGCCTACCTCACAGGCAGCTGTGATGATAAAATGGATAGAGGAGAATGATGTAAACCACTTTGGGTCCTCATTGGGGGGGGACGTGGGGTATAAATATCTAAAAAATGTTAAGTCTTATGCCTTCGTGCCATATTCTGCCTTTGAGTTATAGAAAAAGCTGCCAGGTAGAGAAATTCCAATTTTTTCCATAGAATGTCTTTGATCCCAGCTAACACCAGTTTTGTGACAAGATGTTTAACCATGCTATATCATACTGTAACTCACTACTGGTGGTAGTTTTATTCATCTTCACCTCTGACCTTTCTCATCATCCATTAAGTAACACCCTAATCTGTTACAATCCCTTATGCAGAGAATCACACCTGATTTATAGCACAAGGCTCCTCTCTGCTCCCCTTTCCCCCCCTTCCCTTCTGTAACTTCCCTGATAGATATAAGGAAATTCATTTTCTGTCCTTTGCATCTGAGAAGGTGAGTTCAGACCCACAGAAGTTCATGCTGGTATCAATATTAATCTTTCTGCTTATTTCTTGAGGTCATCCCAAGGTATGGTATGAAGGCATGTGAGACAGCAGCCTACCTGTTGTGAAGGTGGTTGGAGTCTGCATGGGAAACATCTGAGAACCCCATGTTCCCAAGATAGGGAAATGGCTGAGAAGCTAAATGCATTTTTTGCCTCCGTCTTCACTGTGAAAGATGAGAAGTGCTTGCCCACTCCAGAACCGCTGATTTCAGGAGGGGTGTTGAAAGACCTGAGTCGGATTGAGGTGACGAGAGAGGAGGTCCTAAAACTGATAGACAACTTAAAAACTGATAAATCACCAGGCCCAGATGGCATACATCCGAGAGTTCTGAAAGAACTCAAATGTGAACTTGTGGATCTCCTTACAAAAATATGTAATCTTTCCTTAAAACCTGCCTCCATTCCTGAGGACTGGAAGGTAGCTAATGTCACTCCCATCTTTAAAAAGGGTTCCAGAGGAGATCCGGGAAATTACAGGCCAGTCAGTCTGACGTCGATACCGGGTAAATTGGTGGAAACCATTATTAAGGAAAGAATTAGTTGGCACATAGATGAACAAAACCTATTGAGGCAGACTCAGCATGGGTTCTGTAAGGGAAGATCTTGTCTCACTAACCTGTTAGTGTTCTTTGAGGGGGTGAACAAACACATTGACAAGGGGGACCCAATAGATATTGTTTACCTTGACTTCCAGAAAGCTTTTGATAAAGTTCCTCATCAAAGGCTCCTAAGTAAGCTCAAAAATCATGGGATAAAAGGACGTCCTTTTATTAATTAATAGAAAACAGAGAGTGAGTATAAATGGGCAGTTCTCCCAGTGGAGGGGGGTAAGCAGTGGGGTACCACAGGGATCAGTACTTGGTCCACTGCTTTTTAACTTGTTCATTAATGATTTGGAGTTGGGAGTAAGCAGTGAAGTGGCTAAATTTGCGGATGATACAAAGTTGTTCAGGGTGGTGAAAACCAGTGAGGATTGTGAGGCACTCCAAAGGGATCTGTCAAAGATGGGCAAGTGGGCGTCAACATGGCAAATGGGGTTCAATGTGGCCAAGTGCAAGGTGATGCACATTGGAGCCAAAAATCCTAAATATAAATACACATTGATGGGGTCTGAACTGGCAGAGACTGAGCAAGAGAGAGATCTTGGAGTTGTAGTGGATAACTCACTGAAAATGTCGAGACAGTGTGTGACTGCAATAAAGAAGGCCAATGCTATGCTGGGGATTATTAGGAAGGGTATTGAAAACAGATCAGCCAATATAATAATGCCCCTATATAAATCAATGGTGAGACCTCATTTGGAATACTGTGTGCAGTTCTGGGCACCACACCTTAAAAAGGATATTATAGCTTTGGAAAAAGTGCAGAAAAGGGCAACTCGAATGATAAAAGGGTTGGAACACTTTCCCTATGAGGAAAGGTTAAGGCGCTTAGGGCTCTTTAGCTTGGAGAAACGACGACTGAGGGGTGACATGATTGAGGTTTATAAGATTATGCATGGGAAAGAGCAGGTAGAGAAAGAGGTACTTTTCTCCCTTTCTCACAATACAAGAACCCGTGGGCACTCCATGAAATTGCTGAGCGGTCGGTGTCTTCTTGGTGCTTGGGGGGGGGGGTCAACAGTGGGAGGGCTTCTAATGTCCTTGCCCCACTGGTGGACCTCCTGATGGCACTGGTATTTCTGGCCACTGTGTGACACAGAGTGTTGGACTGGATGGGCCTTTGGCCTGATCCAACATTGGTGTCTCTTATGTTCTTATGCTGCCTGAAGTTCTTTAATGCAAGATCAGCAGGATGGAAATGTAACCAATAAATAAATTGGATAAATAAATCTCAAAGATGGGCAATATTCTCTGCCACTTAAACGCAGAGGTCAGTCCCCTGATTTTTTAGGAGTGCTGTTGATTTCCTAACTTCAGATCTCCAGAAAGAAGGATGAACAAGCAGCCAAGATCATTTCCTAGAGGTACTCATTAGCCACTGAATGATACACTGCTGAAATGGCCTAGTTAGTAGTTTGTTCTAATAACATGTTGCCAGAGAGCACAGAGGTTTTGCGCAGAGATATATGGGATCATGACCCTGTACTACTGAATGCTGAGGGTGAAGAAGTATAGTAGTTTTGGACCAGGGAGGCTGCTCTGGAAACTCAGCATTCAAAGCAGACTTACTACATTTCTCCAGAACAATTTAGAACAGAAAGGTGTATTTAACAGGTGAACACACCCTTCAGCAACAGTGCAAGCTCAGCATCTTCCCAGCTTCATAACTGATATGATGAGAAAAACCTGTTCATATTTTTAAAATCATGGTGTTTTTTTAATTTTTAAAAGCACTGCATCAATGTTCAACCATGTGTCATTTTTAAAATACAAAACCATTCCTGGTACTGAGTGGTTTTTTAAAAGACATTACGAGTACTAGCCAATCAGCAATATGTTCGGTTGGTTTCAAAACTTGCAGAATTGCTCCAGAGCTCAATCCTAGAAAGGAAATGTATCTTTGGGTGCCACAGTAGCCTTGCTGTTGTAAAGAAGCATCCACCTTTAGGCTAAAGTGGAGGTCCTCTGTTCTCATGGTCTGTGAGGGGACAAGAAACTGGTGACTTCTGCTTCAATGTATGTCGAGACGAAAACAGAATGGTGGGATCCAGTTGACTGGCCACACACTGCAGTAAATTATAGCAAGTCAGGATGAAGGAGGTCTCTGTAAATTACAGTTGACTTTCTCTTAACGGTAACTCCAGGTGTTAATGTATACCACCAATTCCACCCACTCCCTTGGGGGGGGGAACTCCACAACGTTTCACTGCTGCAGTCTTGTCTCTCCCTTCCTAACCACATAGCAGAAATGTCATAACTGTACTGCTATTACTTCTGACTTTGATATCCTCTTGGACAGGTGCTAAATGTTTCTGTAGCACTGTACATCTGCATTCATCAGCTGCAACTACCGATTCCTTTCTGAAAATCTCGAGTTCAGTGTGGCTGAGCTGGAGTTTCACATCTAATCAGTGTGATTTGTTCAAGATGCATGAAATTTCACAAAGCAAAGCAGGAAGGAATCCTATAGGCTGCTCCTACCATCTCCATCTCCCCCCCCCCAAGAACTCCTAGTATTCTATCCAGCAGAGAAAAAGAAGAGGAGATTGGATTGATAACCCCCCCTTCACTACCCGAAGGAGTCTCAGAGTGGTTTACAAGCTCCTTCCCCTTCCCACAACAGACACCCTGTGAGGTAGGTGGGGCTGAGAGAGCTCTTTCGAGAACTGCCCTTGAGAGAACAGAACTCTGGCTTGCCCAAGGTCATCCAGCAGCTGCAAGTGGAGAAGTGGGGAATCAAACCCAGTTCTCCCAGACTAGAGTCT